GAAGCTAAAGTTGATAGACACATTTTATTAGATCAGTATCGGGCCTGGAAGCACTAGGGCCAATAATGAAACAGTGTTTAGCTACAGAACGAAATGAGGCTGCCAAACTGCTGGAAGCAGAGACATTGGTGACTAAACTAAATATAAAGTTGATACAGCCCAAGCATTAATTATGTATTAGTGATCAATCAGCATAAGGAGACATAGGATGGAGATGGAAAACAAGTTCACAGCTAGGTTGAGGTAAAAGGGGAAAATAGCTTTAAATACAATTTTGCAGGAAGGCCAAAAAATATAATTAGCTCGAGTATTACCTGTTCCTTAAACCAATGTTAAAGGGAATGCCTTTTACTTGTTTGGTTTTTAAGTAGAAAGCAGTACCATGTCTTTCCTGTCCCAGGTAATTGACCTGGGTGGAGAGCCGATCAAAGGCAGTGAATACTTTGGAAATGGCCGAGTGACAGAGTTCAAATACGGTGCAAAGCTGGGGACAGTGATCCGCAAGTGGAACGGAGAAAAGATGGCCTACCTAAAGTAAGGATGGAGGTGCTGCTGTTTATCTGGGCTACACTGGATACAACAGTTGACAGGGTAACTTCAGCTCTTTGTGTTTTTGGCTAGGAACTGGGGAGAAGGCTGGGGCTTTGTGCCTTCTGACAGAGCCCTGGTCTTTGTGGACAATCATGACAACCAGCGGGGGCATGGGGCCGGTGGATCTGCTATTCTGACCTTCTGGGATGCCAGGTAAGAGATTGCTCTTGTCTGGGTGCTGTTTTGTCTGTCTGTTTCTCTTTGCACGTCTCATGACTTGCTTTGTCCAACCAACAGGCTCTATAAAATGGCAGTTGGTTTCATGCTGGCCCATCCGTATGGGTTCACACGTGTGATGTCAAGTTTCCGCTGGCCAAGATATTTTGTTGATGGAAAGGTAAGCCTGCAATGCTGACGATGCATTTGTGGTGGATAAGGACCAGAGCAGGGCCCTAGAAGTAGTCCAGCGCATTTCAGTGTGTTAAGGGATTTCACTGGGCCATGATCTAGCTGGTGAAAATTTGATGCTCCATCTAGCTTTTCTCTCCCAAGAGGCTCTTTGCATTTTCAGTAAGAAGTTATAAACTTCTGAATTACAGGACATCAATGACTGGGTTGGACCCCCAAGTAACTCGGATGGCTCAATAAAGCCTGTGACAATCAATGAGGACACTACCTGTGGCAACGACTGGGTTTGTGAACATCGCTGGCGTCAGATAAAGTAGGACACTGTGGGAGAAAAAACTGAGTGAAAGCAGTTGCTTTTGCTTCATGTTCCTCATGGCTTTAGAGCTCTTGCAGCTGCAGTGACAGCCGTTCCTTGTATTTTCAGGAACATGGTTATTTTCCGTAACGTGGTGGACGGTGAACCTTTCTCCAACTGGTGGGACAATGGCAGCAATCAAATAGCTTTTGGCCGTGGTAATAAAGGCTTCATCATTTTCAATAATGATGACTGGTAAGTAAGAGAGGAATAAATCATAATTTATTATTTTTATAAATAATTTATTATTTATTTTAAAAATCTAGGTAATAGTGAAAGCTTTTAGGGTGTTGCTGGGTCCAGCAGATCTTTGGAACAGATGCATCCTCTGTGTCTTTTTCTAACAATTTAAACTTATCATTCTCCACTCTACCTGGAACACTCTTCACTCTTGGCAGTTAGGCCTTGTACTCTGATCTCGCTGTTTCCCAGTTCTGAAGTTGGCTGGGTCGTTGATCAGGGTCAGCCAGCAAAGTCTGAACTTATAGAAATGAGGGAACTTGTAAACTCAGGAATGTGGTCTAAAAGTGACAATTTTAAAAACTGTATTGCAATCTTTTATGCAATAATGAGATGATAAGAGAAAGAGAGTGTGTCAGGCCTGTAATAATTAGAAGCAGGTTGTGGTGATAAGCAATTTGAAGGATGTAGTGGTTGTACAGATTTTGCAGTGTCCAGAGAAGTGCTACAGGATAACTCCAGAATTACCTAACATCTGAGAAGGTTTCCAATATGAGTTGCAGAGCATTTTAGAGTCCACGTAATCCTTACTGCATTTCAATCTTTTCCAAAGGTCTTTGAATGTAACTCTGCAGACTGGTCTGCCTGCTGGCACTTACTGCGATGTCATTTCTGGGCAAAAGAATGGTGACCATTGTACAGCAGGTGAAGTTCACGTTGCTGCTGATGGCATGGCAAATTTCCTGGTTGGTAATGAGGACGAAGACCCATTCATTGCCATTCACGTTGATGCTAAATTGTAGCCAGATCTGTTGTGCACCTGTTGTTTCTTCTCTTCTGTATTTTTGCTGAGAACATACAGGTGGGCCAAATGTCCAGCACTAAATGAACCAAGGTAGAGCAAAGTCTATTAGTTAATACTAATGAAATAGTGAGCCGCTGCTCTACAGAAACAGGAGCTAGTGGTGCCAGCGCACATCTGGGAGTGGTGCTGTACACCTGTTTGCATTTTTAAGCGTGCTTTATTCAGTTAAAATACTCATACAAAGTGAAAGGAGAAAATTGAAATTACTTAATTTAAAATGGTGCTGCTCTGTCCATGAGTGGAAGTAGTGTGGTTCTCTTTAGGGGCAAGTGGGACTAGGAATTGACAGGATGTCCAAAAACCAAGAGAAGACACTTTTGTGCTGAAACATGGCACAATTCAAGTTGCTTCCAAATGATAACTCAGTTGAAAATCTGTTTCCTCTGTTGATCTGTACATTCTCTGTATCTAGTGAATAAAAAATGGCATTCAAATCAAGTCTGTCCCTTTTTTGTGACAAACCAAACATGGGGTCTGGGTCAGAGGAAGCTGGCCTGTGCCAGTTGTTTATTCCAGCCTTTGGCATCAGTCAAGCCCGTCTTATTACCTGGTTCACAGTCACCTTGTGCCTGTACAAGTAAAAAACTTAGTTCTTCCACAGTTACCCCAAAATTGACTTGATCTCCGTTACTGCTGCCTATAATACAATCACCAATAGGATGGTGGGCATTCCTAGTCATGGAAAAGGAATATGTGGGTTGAAACCAGCTAAAGCCCATTGCTACCTGCAAAAAAACTTCTGTTAGTTTTTAATTTTGTGTAACCTCTTTTGTACTGAGCCATGTCTACATTCTTCCCAATGCTGGTCTGGCTAAACCAAGGAGATAATCACCCTTTTTAATTAACTCTGGGATAAACAGTTACATTATCAGCTAATGCACTCAACTAAACCACTTACACACAAAGAGTTTGTGTGTTAAATTAGCATTCCTTGCAACACCCTTGGACAGTCAGTCACAGCCTGCACAGCCTGTCATGTGAGGGCTCTCAGTCCTCTTTCCCAGTGGGTTTGCCATCCATTGCATCAGGCTAGCAAGGATGGGTCCTTACTCTTCTTGGCTGACAGCAGCATATTTTTCAGTGGAAAATGCATGCCACTGGAAGCTGAAAGTCATGCAGTGACATGCCATCTCATCAATGGAACCCCACAGGGAATGATGATGTAAAAATTAACCTGAGGCACATTTGGTTGCTTTCAGTAATATTGAGGGATGAGGGGGTCTGTTCTCACTGAGTTGGTAATCACAAAGTGCAATCGCTCACTGGTTCCTTGCTGTTAGTGAGTAGGCAAGGTTATTTGCAGTAATTTACTATTTCATTATAGTAGTGGGAAAAGAGGCTTTTAATAAGGTCTGTGACATGAAAATGAACAGGTGGACAAATGGGACAAATGCTTCTGTGTTTTGTCCTTGAAGACAAATTCTGGGAAAGAGAAGGATGCATGTGACATATTGGCATGGCTAGTTTCAGAAAGAACACACTAGAGGTAGTTTGGGTACAAAGTGCACTGATGTACTGATGTTTCTTTTCTTCTGGAGTAGATGTGACCTTTTTTCTAACTTTTTTTTTGTCACAGATATTCATCAAATGTCAGAAATTTTATGGTCTTTGTATTCTTTCAGAGTGGTGTTGGTATGACTCAAGCTTGTTCATGGAGAATTGTTGCTAAGACCTTGATTTTATAAGTCAGTTCTGTATGAAGACCTGAAGGCATCTTATGAGCTAAAGTCAGTAGTTTTTTTTTTCAAAGGAGAAGACTGTAGGAAAAGCCAAAAGGGACTTGGACAACAGCTCTGGCTTTCAGATTCTGTTTTATGTCAGTCAGCTAACACTCATCTGCAATATTTACATCTGATTTTGGGTTGAGTTCCTTGGCTCAGATGAATCAATGGTCATTTAAAATGAGATGAAACCTTATGCAAAGTTTCTGCTGGAGAAAGAAACACAGCTTGGATGACTTTCAGTCAGGTACAGCGACAGCTATTCTGCACAACCAGCTGTGTGAAGAAAACTGATAACAGTTCCTAGCAGAGACTGGGCAGTGACACTAGAGAAATGCTTCAGGCCTGAAAAGGCATCAGTTTCTAGTTACCAATGTGATTCACCTGGGGAAGATCCACAGCCTGTTGTCCGATAGAGCTGTAATTGACTGAGAGTGGCTGATCAGGTACCCTGGTTTGAACTCTGCCAGCATTCAGAGGTGTCCAGCTGTCAGGATTAGATGAACTCAGTCATTCTCCTAGTGCTGTTAGGTTTTCATCTTTCAGTCACTTCTCCCTCCTTTTACCTTCCAAAGACCCCTTTCAGGGTCTGTGTGTTATGTTTTGGAATACTTTTGATAAAGTATTTCTGTTTACATGAAAGAGTGCAGTTCTGGATTTGGGTACACTGCTCACGGACTGCTTAGTTTATGATAGTGTATAATCACTGTGAAAAGGTATTTTATCTTCAGCTGTTGGGCAATCCAGGAGGAAAACCAACCGAAGGAATGATATTGAGCTAGCTAGCTAAATAATAACTGATAGCATTGATCTAGCTAGCTAAATAATAACTGATAGCATTGATCCTTGTGAATTTTGACAGCTGTGGTAGGAACTTTGTCATCTTGCAGGAACATAAATAGCCTGTGGAGAGACTAGAGTGCCTTCAGTAGATAGCACCATGCAAGTCCTCCTCCTCCTCCTTGCAGCTGTGGGGTTTTGCTGGGGGCAGTACAACCCCAACACCCTCTCTAAGAGGACATCTATTGTACATCTCTTTGAATGGCGCTGGGCGGATATTGCTCTGGAGTGTGAACGCTATTTAGCTCCTAATGGATTTGGAGGTGTTCAGGTAAGAGTAGTAGGAAAATGGCATTTGTAGCATTTAATTAATAAATCAAAATCCCTGAGATGGAAACAGCCATCTCCAAGTAACTTTGCTGTTGGAGAGGGCCAATGATTTTGTATCTCTAGCAGGTCAGTTACAAAGGGGCATGCCTTCCTCTGAAAGGCTTCCCCTGAAAGCTAAGTAAGGCTCTTCCCTTGTTCTGAGGGAAGTGCATAAGCATTGAGGTTTGGCTTGTCTAAGGCTGTCACCACTCCAGTTACAAATACTTCCTATGGCTTCAGCCTTCCCGTGCACATGCCCTTGAAAGCAGGCCCATGCTGGATCTGGGCAACCCACAGAAAAAAAATAAAACCTCTTTCTTGCCAGTGTACAAGACAGATATCTCTCAGACTTGGGCTTATGCTGTGGGAGAGGCTGGGTTGGGTGCTAGCCTGCCTCTGAGGGTAGAGATGCTGAATGCAGGTTTTGCCCTTAAAACGTCAAAATAAAACCAATTGATTTCTTATCAAAGTATATAATTTCATCTACAGGTTTCACCTCCAAATGAAAATATTGTCATTACTAACCCAAACAGACCTTGGTGGGAAAGGTACCAGCCCATTAGCTACAAGCTCTGCACTCGGTCAGGAAATGAAGATGAGTTCAGAGACATGGTGACCAGATGCAACAATGTTGGAGTAAGTGCCTTGAAAAATCTGTATCTGATATGGCAAGAAGTGCTGTATCAGCTGAGGGAAGGTACTGCTGCTTTCCTCTAAGGAAACATATACTGAGAAGAAACTGAAGTGGAAAAAAGTCAATAGTGAAGTAGTAAAGTTGAGGCTATCACTTCACAATCACTACAAAACATAGTGAAATGCTCACATTGCTTTTCCAGGTTCGTATTTATGTGGATGCTGTCGTCAACCACATGTGTGGAGCTGCGGGTGGCTCGGGCACCCATTCTACCTGTGGAAGCTATTTTAATGCTGGAAACAGAGATTTTCCAGCTGTACCATACTCTGGCTGGGATTTCAATGATGGCAAATGTCACAGTGGAAGTGGAGAAATTGAAAATTATGGTGATATATATCAGGTAACTTCCTCTGGCAAAAGTTTTGATTATTTTTCTTTTTTTTTTTTAAACATGTTGTGTAAACTCCACAGTAAGATGAAACAAAGGGTGTAGTTTTTCACAAAATCTGTGCTTAGTCACTTGACAAATGAATGAGGTTGTAACCATAGGTACTAGTGGTGCAAAATATTATGAGTAGTGAGAAATCAAGAACCTGTGTGTGGAAGTTTTCCCCTGAACTGAGCCCAGTGTACTCAGCTCAGCCCACAACCTCATTCTTATAGCTTATAAGCTCAGCTGATCATGATAAGGAGCCCCCTTGAAAAACTGAGAGCAGTGCAAGGTGGTGCCCTGGTTGAGCAACTTACTGGTTTTTGTAGTTGGAATGTGTAGCAGTTCTTTCTCAAGCTCTTTGGCCACTTTGCAGCAATATACTATGATATTTCTGCACTGGCACTGCTTCATGTAAGGCTTGCCCTTCACTGGTTCAGGTGGCTCCTAATGTGCATCTGTAATATGCATCTGTAATATGTGTTTCTGTAACATGCATCTGAAATCCTGGGTTACAACAGTTTAAAGGTATTTCCATTTCAATCTCCACCCCAGTCCCTTTGGACCAGACCATTGTGTTTAACATTGCAATGAATTCCTCCCCTTATCCCTGCTCTGCCTTGGACTTATCCACAGACTACAATCCCTCAGGGCTCTACCTGCTGCAGAAGGAGCCTTGTCTATGAGCCACAGTCTCTTCAGGAGGACACCTGCTGTGGCACAGACTTATCCACAGCTACAGTCACTTTGAGGGGCACCTGTTCCAGCATGGTCCTATCCATGGGCCACAGAGTCTTCAGGGATACACCTGCTCCAGTGTGGCCTTACCCACAGCCACTGTTCCTTTAGAGCCTGCCAACACGGCCTTAGCCCTGGCTGCAGTCCCTCCAGGGGTGTTCCTGCTCTGTCGTGGGCTTGTCCATGGCCAAACACTTTGAGGTGCTCCAGCATGTGCTCATGCACAGCCACTGATGCTTCAAGGTGTACCTGCTGCAGCACAGTCGTGTCCTTGGGCCCCAATCCCTTCAGAGGGACACTGCTGTGGCACAGACATAGCCATGGCCACAGACACTTTGAGATGTACCTGCTCCACTGTGGATCCATCCACAGGTCACAATCCCTTTGACTTGAGTTCACTCTGAAGTTCCAGCCTGTCTGGTACAGCAGCACAGAAACAGCAGCAGTGTGCTGGCCACCTGCCAGCCCAGGAGCATCTCCACTGCCAAAATCCAAATGTTCCCAGAGTGAGGTGATCAGCAGCACAGTGGAACAGCCAGCAGTGAAGGCAAAAAGCAGCCACTAATGAGCTCTAGACTCTAATACACAAGTGAGTCCTGTGCAAGCACAGGAGCCTGCCAATTAATAGCCAAAGAGCAATAACAGCTATAAATTCCATCTAGCACATTCCAATCAAACTTGTTATTTCAAAACCTTTGAGCCCCACATTTGGCACCAAAAAGGACTGATGTGGTTTAACCCAGTCAGCAACTAAACACCACACAGCTGCTTGCTTACAGGGGAGAGAATCAGAAGAGTAAAACTGAGAAAACTCATGGGTTGAGATAAAGACAGTTTAATAGGTTAAGCAAAAGCTACGTGTGCAAGCAAATCAAAACAAGAATTTATTCACCACTTCCCATGGGAAGACAGATGTTTGACTGCCTCCAGAAGAGTAGGGCTCCATCATGTGTAAGGGTGACCTGGGAAGAAAAATGCCTTCCCTCCAAACATCATCCCGTTCTTCTTCCCACCATCATCCCCTTCTTCTTTATCTGCTGAGCATAGAATATCCCTTTGATCAGTTAGGGTCAGCTGTCCTGGCTGTGTCCCCTCCAAGCTCCTTGTGGGTCTCCAGCCTACTCGCTGGTTGTGTGGTGTGAGGAACAGAAAAAGTCTTAACACAGGAGTTTAGTTTTAGTAATTGCTGAGCAGCGCTTGCACAGAGTCATCACCCCTGTTTTCAGCACAAATCCAAAACACAGCCCCATACCAACTACTTTGAAGAAAATTAACTGTGTCTCGCCAAAACCAGCACATTCTACGTCCCTTGTCCCATAGCATTTACATCATGCTGAAGTACCACACTACCCAGTCAAACCACCACCCCTCTCCACCTCATTTGATAATACACAGATATAATCTTCTCTTCTTCTCTTCTCTTCTTCTCTTCTC